ATTGCCTGCACTGTAGTTTTTTTATCTTAGGAGAGGTGACAGATACTGGTTACCTCAATACTAAAAAATTGCTGTTTTATTAGTAATGAGGACAAGTTTTGAGGCTCAGTTAGAAGAAAAAGAATCCTATTCATTGAGTAGCATAAAGGTCCTTAAGTGACTTTTCGGCCTTCAATGTTATTCATCAGTTCTATGTAATATACCACACTTTCAAAGCATTTCAAGACTTTTTTTTTTTCCCTCATCTACAAAATATCGAAAAAATATCGATAAAAATACGTATTTACCACAAGAGGGTGCCAGAAACTCAAATATACTGCAACTCAGCTGCTTCCAGACATAAGCATCATCACCAGGGCCCAGCCAGATCTCACAGCTAGGCAGTGATTCTCTAGAGAGGCCCTTCATGTGCATTCATCCTCATTTCTGTTACTCCACTCCAGATCTGCAACAATTTCAGCCACTGAAAATTCACCTGGCATAACCACTGTAAATATCAACTCCAGCACTGTACTGGAAGTCACACTGCTCACTCTATCTGTAAAGTGATACCAAGAAAAGGGCACTTCTCTCTTCAACATTGTATCCTGGTTTCAGCTGGGATAGTTAATTTTCTTCCTCGTAGTTGCTACTGTGCTGTGTTTTAGATCAAGAGAATGATGTTAATAACACACTGATGTTTTCAGTTGTTCCTAAGTAGTGTTTATACACAGTCAAGGACTTTTTAGCCTCTCAGGCCCTGCCAGCAAGAAGGCTGGGAGGGGTCACAGCCAGGACAGCTGACCCCAACTGGCCAAAGGCATATTCCATACCATATAACATCACGCCCAGTATATAAACTGGGGGGGAAAGCTGGCCAGGAGCTGCTGCTGGGCATCAGTTGGAAAGTGATGAGCAACTGCGCTGTGTATCACTTGTTTTGTATATTCTAATTATTTTATTATTACCGTTATTATTATTTTCTTCCTTTTCTGTCCTATTAAACTATTAAACTGTCTTTATCTCAACCCATGAGTTGGTTTTTGTTGGTTTTTTTTTTCTTTTTTTGATTCTCTCCCCCATCCTGCTGGGGCCAGGGAAGTGAGTGGCTGTGTGGTGCTTAGTTGCTGGCTGGGATTAAACGACAACACCCTGTCATTGGCTTCCCATTTTTATATGCATAGTGTATCTGCTTTCATGGTTTTTTTAGGTAGATGAAAGAAAAATAATGAACAGCCTCAAGATTCATCTATTTCTCAAAAAATATGGAAAATATATGAGAATCAACATAAGAATACGGTTGCATGATTCATTAATAAGTTAACTGAAACTGTTTAGGTTGTGGATAAACTCATTTGGTGCATATGCTCTATTTTATTTCTTCAGTCAAACCCCAGGACTAACTCACTATGGCTAATACTCTAAAATATTGGGGCGTGATTCATAGAACACTGAAGTAAAAGAAAAGAGTCTCATCAAGTTTAGTTGGCACAGGGTCAGAACTGCTTAGAAGCAGCAGACAAGAGCAGCACAGATACAATTCCTGTTGAATACTTCAGAAAAGCACCTATAGCTGATAACTACTATTTCCATGAATTGTTCCATCAAGCCACTTGTGTTGTTTTCTAAGAATACATGTATTTTGCTCTTCTATAGCACGTTTCAAAGAAAATTCAAAGCATTTTAACTACCAAAGCTGACTTTGCAAAGAGAAAAACTACAAATGTGTGGTGCAAAGAGTAAAGGCACAAAGGAAGAAAGAAACCACCACAGAATTTGTATCATCAGAAAATTCCCAGAGCTTCCTAAGTGCCAGAACTTGTACGTTCTGCCCTAAGGAGCTGCACTAGTTCATGGACTGTCACTCCACACAAAATTTGGCCAACCTGGGAAACTGCCTGAAGAAGGATTTGAAATGAAGCCTAAGTTACTGTGGGAAAACATGCATTGTAAAATAGGTAAAACCAGGTAAAAGTCTTGATCCTGAAGACAAATACTCAAAAATTCTGACATCTGCTTGTTCATAACCTGATGATGTATATATGATTGGTTGGATAATTTAAGGTACTTTGACTGCATTGTCCAAAGCTACCAACATTTTAGATGAGATCTGCATTTTCCTTCCAGCAAGATTTCCAAGTACAAGGCACAGTGTAACAGCAAAGGAACTGGTCTGACATGGTAGGGGACAGTAACCCTCCAGAACATGTCAGCTCCGAGAGGAGTCAAATAAGACTCCATCCCCATGTGATGGCTGTTCAGTAGCCTGTATTTAATGAAAACAATGGACATCACAGTTCAGAGATCATTGTTCTTCACCATAAACTATCCTTTAAGGCAGAAAATCCAGAGGCTTAACAGTCAAGAGCTACAGGAAAATGGGGAGGAAAATTTATGTATATATTGACTAACAGTGCAACTAGGGAATTAAGTCTCTGGAACAACAAATCAAGCATCTTTCAACATCTTTGAAATTTGCTTTAACTACTCCCTTATGTGAAGAAAAACCACAAATAGATGGTAGACTCAATCCAAAGTGGGTATAATGAAGTTTTCGAAAGAAAACAAGCAAGATTTGGGCCTTTGCTTGCTTCCCCACTAAACCACATGTAAGAACATCACCAAGTGTAAAAGATGTTGGAACACCGATGCATTCTGTTCACCGTGTTAACTCTCCTTTCTCAGTCTCTTACATTAAATTTACGTGTGGTCTGTTTTTAGCACAGTGAGCTTTCCAGTGTTATAAAACAAAGAATCCCACTGTCCACCTTGTCCCAGCTGACCCCAAGACACCCACACATATAATCTGCTCTGCCTGTCCTACCTCAGTGGCTGCACTACCATCTGGGTACCAAGTCAAATTCAGCCACTGATTTTAACAATTTCAAGCCTTTTATGACTCGCACAGATCAGCTACACCCTGACTTCCAGGCTAGAGGATTCTCGGCTTCTACATGAAACTGTACAGATAATTACGTATAATTTTGTGTCCCAAACTAAGCAGCTTGGAAAAATTTCAACGTATTTATCTAAACCAACAGCACTACTGCCAATGAATGTTAAAGAATTTCACACTACTGGGATTTTCAGATAAATGGAATACCAGAGGACTGGGTTGCTGGCTAGCCAAGCCAAGAAGACTCACCAAATACACTGTCAAAGTATTCAGCACCAGAGAAACACTGACAGCCAACAAAAATCAGAAATCAGTTATTCCGTTCAGAGGCTGTACCATCATCGTGCTTTTTCCTTACTTTTACTATAAGGAATAGTAACAATGAGACAAGATCTTTTCTTCTATTTATTTTTTTGTAAAGACATTGCTAAAGGCCCAAGGAACATGATTCCTAAACAAAACCAAGTGTCTTAAAATCTCTGGTAGCAATGTTTATTGCCTTTAGAATATAATTCTATCTATGCAAATGATTTCATTTGAGCTGCAACATTCCCCCCTCCCCACAGTGCTTGAGGCAATATATTAATTCATGAGAATGAGAAAATTAAACTAAGAAAAACAGATTTTGAGACATTTGACACTCCCTTTTCAGCATCTAAACTAACTAGATTTGTAATAGAAAACACGATAGGACCCAAACATAAAGATGTTAAGCAAGGCAGTGCTACTACTCATAGCTTTATGTCAAATGCTTGGCAATAAATAAACAAGCATCATCAGGGGTAGAAAGTAAATATTTTTTAAAATTCTCTAAACATTTAGCATGCAACAGGGACAACTTTTTACACGCATTGACAACAGCACCAAAACCGCAATGGCTGCATAAGAGTGGCATTTACATTCTGCTAGACTAATAAAGGTGTTTTCATTGCTTTATTCCAAAATTGTCCCCTGAAGAATTCATCTACTGTGCTACATATTCTTCAGTCAAACCCCCTTTTTCTGGCCAAAGCTGCAAGATTCTCTCAAATCCCATCCAAGCCGACAGATTGAAAGCACTGAACACTTCTCAGCTAGCTGGATGAGGAACGTGCAGTCAGCATAAGACACATGCTAGATGGGGAAGGTGGGAACACCTGTCACCAGCAGACACCGAGAGCCTCGGACAGAGACAACAGCCCTTCCATTCCATCTCCACACAAGCAAACAATGTGGAGAAGGAGGAAAGTTAATATACAAGCAGGGCTGCTCCTGGTGTGTGCGTGGAGGGGGTAAAATAAGTGTGGCTACCCTGTAGCTGAACTTGAGTGTTACCTCACATACCTGAAGCAAAGCAGACCACCAGAGCTGCTCTTTAAACAAACACTGCCACTAATGAAGCCATGACAGGCGAGGAGCCAAAACGGGAGCAACTAATTTGCTACGGCTCGAGAATCCAGCATTTTGCAAACAATGTGAGAGTCGGGCTGGGGAGCAGTTAATTGACCGTTTTCACCCACAGTGGCTTCAGACCACCTCCCTCCCCAGAGGGGCTGACAACAGAAGAGTCTCTGTGGTGAAAAGTTAACTTTGCAGCCTGAGTATTCTGCCTTATCTCAAACTCTTCCTGATTTAGAATGCAGGACAAGCATTAACTCCACTATGTTCTTTACAAGCAGTGCCTGAAAAAACTCTACAGGTTACACATAAGATAAGAGCTACCATTCCCGCTTTTCACTATGGAGAGTAACAGAGTGACTTTCTTCACATCCTTAATTTTAAAACCCAGGGGGTGCTCTGGCTACATTTATGAGGCCCATTAAAAAGCAAGACTTTCCTATTTCCAAACATCAATCCTTCTTTTGAGGTAAAGCAACATTAAATAATAAAAAACAAAAAAAAAAAAAAAAAAGGGTGCAATGAGAGGATACTACATCCAAACTCAAGAGACCTCAAATGTTTCTCACCTTTGTCAACTGACCAGATTGCTTTCTCAGAAACCTCTAGTCAAGTGCCTTGTAGACCGGCTTATGGATCAGTCACAGGTTGTTCCAGGTCTCCTCATTCTGAAAACATTCACTAAAGGCATGAGGAAGAGTCTGTAATGTCTGCAGCTCAAACTATGACTGATAAAAGCATGTGGCCGATGGAAAACTTCCCAGAAGCCTACTGTGAGTTTGGTAACCTGGCCTTTCACAACCTAGGAGAGCTGTGCTGGTTAGTCAAGAGTATGAAGTTTATGTAATTTATTTCTATTTCAGTTTAGTTCAACAACGTCCCCTACAAACTCAGCCTCCTCAGTCCAAAATAAAAGGATCAAGAGAGGTTCACAGTGATTTAGACAAATCTGGATAGATTTGAATGACTAAAAGCATGTCAGTGGCAGATTTTGCTCTATTTTCTTCCCTGTTGCTGAAACAGCCAGACCTTTTCTCTCCTGAAGGAGGGCCCTCTGTGGCCACCTAAAGGGTTTTACAAAGTTCCATTGGTATCACATACTCAGGTGTCTGGCCGAGATACTGGTGAGATTAAGAGAGCTGCCAGGAGGTCCCTAAATTTGAGGGAGACAGAGTTTACCGTTAAATACAAGTTACACTGGATCACGAGCAAGCCAGCACAAGTGACTGGAAACCTACACTATATACAACTACATCGTATTTCCACTTTTCCCTCTGGCTCCTCCATTCATTTCAGGTTCCAGTTTAAAAATATTTTAAGCACACACTCAAGGCAGCAAACTTACTTCTCTTTTAGTCTCTCCATTCAGTTTTTAACAATGCTTATACTACATCTATCGTTGCTCTGCCCTTTTGTGCTGCTGGTTCAAGGATATTTCTCCCTTGCAAGAGCAAGGCAGAAACAGCACTTTGTCTAACTGGTACTCCACCTCATTTCAAAACCCAGCTAGCAGGTAAACAGCTGGCTGTGCCTCTTCTTTTCCCTCCCGCCATTCAAGTGCTTTATTGAGTTTCTGATACAGACCCTAAGGTGAAAATTCACCCACTGTCTCAGGGCCCGGCCTGTACAGCTCTTCCCACCCGAGCTGCCCCCGGTTGCCGGGTGAAGCGCGCCCCGCACCAGCCCGCGCCGGGATGCCGAACCGCAAACCCAACTCCCCCCGAGACGCGAAGCTTCGCTGGTGCCACGGGGCGAAAGCCGTGCCGGGACGCGCAGAGCCGCCGAGCAGGGCGC